CTGTTAGCTGATTTTTTATTGGGGTTATTTGTCTTTTTATTGTTTAGTTGTAACTGTTCTTGACATACTCTAGATACTATACCCTTATCAACTAGCTGACTTGCAAATATTTTCTCCCATTTTTAGGTTGTCTTTTAACTTTTTTTTATTATAAGGAAAATATATAGCAAAACAGCTGGAAGGTAGTGGGGGGGTGGAAGATCTGGAAAAACTTAATCACCAAACAAGCTGCCTAAACATGGCTTCCTGCTGTGGAGGAGAGATGTGGCCCTTATCTTTCCCATGATTCCTGATTCAAAGAAACCTGCTCTTAGCAGGGCTGGGCCTACAGAGTCCAATTTTCCAAACTGTTCTCTTCCTGGGAATTTGGGGAAGGTGTACAGTTCTCAGGCTTTCAAGATACAAAAGACAGTATGGAGAAGGAAGGGATGTTACAGCCCTTTCGTCCACTGTCATCTCTAGGCCCATCTCTCAGTATTTGTTTATTCCAAAGAGATGAACCCTATGGAATTGGGGCAAATGAGGCAGCAGTACACTGAGCAATGAGGCTGTGTTGATGAGGAAGTGAGCAACATCACACTTGGTATAGAAGCTGGCTAGGGCATAGGAGAGATACTGAGGAATTTGTGGGAAGAGGTAAATTGGAGGCTGTAGTTCATCTGTTCCCAGCATGTCAGTCGCTGAGCCTTTCCTTGGTCAGGGGTCTCAAAGGGTGATGCTTTCATTGTATGTGAGAAGATAAACATAGCCCGCTGGCTTCAGAAAGCCATCTGACTTGAGGTGTGGCACTCCTTTCTACACCTGTGGTCTCCAGGAAGCAGCTCTCTGTCTTTTTACATTTTTTTCTGTCTTTTTACTTTTTTGATGGTATCCTTTGATGTACAAATTTTTTTTGATGAAGCCGAATTTATCTTTATTTTTTCTTTTGGTTGTTTGTGGTTTAAAGGTTTGAAGGTCATCTCTATGAAACCATTGTTTACTCCAAGGTCAGAGTTATACCTGTATTTTCTTCTAAAAGGTTTTAGAGTTTTAGTTCTTACCTTTAGGTACTCTGGGGCTAATTTTTCTTAATATGGTGTGAGATAGGGATCCGAATTCATTAGTTTGCATGTGGCTATTCAGTTGTCTCAGCACCATTTGTTGAAAATATATATTATTTTCTAAATAATTCTGTTTCTTTGTTTTCCCATTTTTATTCTGTATTCTTTACTGCATTTCTGTATTCTGTATTCTGTATTCTTTATTTATTCTGTATTCTTTACTTGCATTTCTTCTTGTCATCGTATTTGTGATATTTGATTTTTTTCCATTTTTGCCTATTCACCTTTGATCTTATTCTGCTGTTCTACTATCTCTTTCCTGAGTTTTTGCATTTTGTTTTGTGACCTTCCATCTTAGAGGCAATTCATTTTTTCCCGTTCATGACAGAATACTTAGTTATAATTTTTATCTAATCCATTGTAGCAGTTTTCTACTGAATGCTGTTCATATATTCATTTTTTAAACTCTTTTCCTTCATAGTTCTTTTTGGATTAATGTAGTACTCTTTCCTTCTTTTTTTTTTTTTTTTTTTTGCACATCATTGTCTGAGTTAGAACATTAGTAGCTCTGCTTTCTCTACTTTTGCCTCCCAGTTTCTTCCAGTTTGTAGTTACAAGTAGGAGTATAGATTCTCACCTAGTGGTGGGTCTCCCACCTTTATGAAGTTTAATTTTCTTGGTGTTTTTTAAAGATTTGCCTCTGTTTGTCCCTCTTTCTGCTCATAATTCTCTCCATAGTTTCTTATTTCCAATTCTTTTGTCATAATTGCCATTGATTTCAGCTGCTTTTCTCAGCCCTTACATGTAATTTGTTATCTAGATTATACTTGTCTCCTGGTTCTTCTGAAGTTTTGTTTGCAAAGATCTTTTGGTTCTCCTTGTTGTTTTTAGATGATTTTCAGAACAGAAAATCATGGTAATAATGATACTTTAATGTTTCTGTGATTTTACATTTCAGATTTGTCTCCTATTGACAGCATGCAACTATATTTTATTCATTTAAAATATCTAACTGAAAATTTGTCTTCTGATGGGTTTAGTCTGTATTTATTACTATCATGACATATTTAGACTTGTTTTCTCTAACTCTATTTCTATTTATCATACCTCTCTTTTTCTTGTTATGTTTAATCTTATATTTCTTTTTTTTAAAGATTTTAAAAATTCATTTATTTGACAGACAGAAATCACAAGTAGGCAAAGAGGCAGGCAGGGTTGGGGGGAAGTACTCCCTGCTGAGCAGAGAGCTCAATATGGGGCTTGATCCCAGGACCCTGAGATCATGACCTGAGCTGAAGGCAGAGGCTTAACCCACTGAGCCACCCAGGTGCCCCTTATATTTCTTTCATTGGGTCAGTGTGTATTTCCTTTATTCTTATCCCTTCCTTCAACTGGTTAAATCATACATTCTATTTTGTTTCTTTTTGGTAGTTTCCTTAGTATTATTTTCAATTTTAAAATCTAGTTGGCTTTATTAAGCAATTCATGTATCAAGCCTCACCCTTCTAGCAAGTAGAGGGACGCTTTCTTCCTTAGCATTTTTTTTTCTAAGTAAGCTCTACCACCAATGTGGGGCTTGAACTCTCAACCTTGAGATCAAGAGCATCATGCTCTAATGACTGAGCCAGCCAGGTGCCCTTAAAAAAAGGCCCTTAGCCTTTTTTTTGAGAGATAGAAAGAGGGAGAGAGTGCAAGGAAGAAGGGACAGAGGGAGAAGGAGAGAAAGAATCTCAAGAAGAAGCTTCCATGCTCAGTGCAGAGCCCAAAGTCCAACACGGGGCTTAATCTCACAACCCAGAGATCATGACCTGAGCCAAAAATCAAGAGTCCAACACTTAACTGGCTGAACCACCCAAGTGCCCCTAGCATTTTCTTTTTCTTAAAGAGAGAGCGAGTGTGTGTATGCACACAAGCAAGTGGGGGAGGGGCAAAGGGGGAGGGAGAGAATCCCAAACAAGCTCCACACCCAGTGCAGAGCCTAAGGTGGGGCTCGATCTCATGTCCCTGAGATCATGACCTGAGCCAAAATGAAGTCAGGCACTTAACTTACTGCAAAGTCAGGCACTTAACTGACTAAGCCATTCAAGTGACCCAATTCCTAGAATTTTTAATATACAGATATAACACGATATTAAACGTGACTTTCAGTGTGCTGGGAATTTCATAAGAAAATAACAAATGTCAGAATAACTATGCAGGGGCACCTGCGTGGTTCAATGGGTTGAGCCTCTGCCTTCGGCTCAGGTTGTGATCTCAGGGTCCTGGGATCCAGCCCTGCATTGGGCTCTCTGCTCGGCGGGGGGCCTGCTTTCTGCTCTCTCTCTGCCTGCCTCTGTGCCTACTTGTGATCTCTCTCTGTCTGTCAAGTAAATAAATAAAATCTTAAAAAAAAAAAAAAGAACTATGCAAAGCATGCTAAGAATGTGAAGGAGATTTTTGTGACCCTTAGTTCATTACCCTCTCAGGTCTAGATTTTATATGATGATTTCTTTAGAGAGAACTGTTGGTATGCTCCTAGCATACCAACTCCTATGAGCCCTAGCTCCTATGAGCCCAAGTCCTATCTCCTCTCTTTGTCAGGGCAAACTACTCTAGTTCCTAGTCATTACCATCACTTTGGGGTTCTGGTAACTACACCTCCTCAGAACTGCTACAGAGGCAGTTCTGTATTTATTGCTGTGTCTCCCCCCACCCCACCTGGAATTCAGCCTCTTGTTATCTTATCCAGAATTTCTAGGAGTTTGTAAGTGGGAGAATTTCAGGTTATTTTAGTCTGGCATCTTACCAGAACTAAACATCTATTTTTTAAAAGATTTTATTTATTCATTTGACATTTATTTATTATTTCATTTATTCATTTGACATTTGCTGGGCTCGATCCCAGGACCCTGAGATCATGACCTGAGCCGAACGCAGAGGTCTTAACCCACTGAGCCACCCAGGCGCCCCTAGACATCTATTTTAACTTGTTCAGTATCTGCCTTCCATGTTAGATAGTAAACTCCAGGCAGGCAGGTAATCATTCTTGTTCACTGCTTTATCTCCAGCTCTCAGCACAGAGGCCTGGCATATAATGAATATTGAGTAAATATTTGTTGAATGTGTGAGTGACTCACATACATGAAGGCTTCAATAGGAAAGGGGGATAGATATAATTAAGTCCAAAAATTATGTTTGCGAAAACATGCATCCCAACAAAGAGAGTTAAGGAAGGGCTGCAAAGCCAGGCTTCTGTATTTGTTTGGCTAGCTGCAACTGACTCACCTAAGCTCACCTCATAGCTTTCTTTTGTCACAATTTTTCCTGTTTCTAGATTTCCTAAAACTCCCAATAATCAAATTTATTTAGGTATAATTTATATGTAATAAATTGTGCCCATTTAAAATGTGTGTTTTGATGAGTTGTGACAAATTTATGTACCCACATAACCACTACCATAGCCACTACCATAGCCAAGATATTGAACATTCCCATCACTACTATAAGAAAGTCCCTTTTGGGACGCCTAAGCGTCTGCCTTCAGCTCAGGTCATGATTGTGGGGTCCTGGGATCAAGCCCCGCATTGGGTTCCCTGCTCAGCAGGGAATCTGCTTATCCCTCTCCCTTTGCCCCTCTTCCCCTCTTGTGCTCACTCTCTGCTCTCTCTCTTTCCCCTCCCTCCAATAAATAAAAAAATCTTAAAAAAAAAAAAAAGAAGAAGTTCCCTTTTACCCCTCCTCAGGAATCTCTCAATCTCTCAGGCCCAGGTAACAACTGATTTGCTCTGTCCCTATGGGTTAGGTGACTGTTTTCTAGAATTTCATAAAGTTGGAATCATATAGTATGTGCTCTTTTGTATCTGGCTTCTCACCATAATGTTTTTGAGATTCAACCATGTTGTTGCCAGTGTCAGTAGTTCATTGTCACTCTGATCTTTCTGAAATAAGAGAGTTTCTTGTGTTTCTAATACTCTCTCTTTCCCTGTTGCTTTTCCCTCTCTCAGTTCCCTTGATTTCCTGTCTAACATCAGATGTTGTGATTAAGTCATTTTTACCTTCCACAGGTTCTATAATCCATGATGCCTATAAAGAACTGGAACATTACAAAGATGTCACCTTCCCCCAGACTTATTCCTCAGTGGAAGGACTTGAAACTTCTCATAAATAATACCCTGAAGGATATAAAGGTGATGTGTATGAGATATATGCACATGGTGGGCTGGTACTAAATATCCCTGCTGTGGCAGCCTGTGGCACGGGCAACATGTAAGCAACTTTGGAAGAGGTTTCCCATACTCCTAAACAACTCCTCCTTCTAGATTCGGATGATAACAATTATAATTAAAAGATATTCTGCTGCAAAAAAAAAACACAACAAAAAAACAAAACAAAACCCAAAACAGAAAAGGGACTCACATGGATTAAACAAGCAGGAGGTGCCTTTGTCTTACATGTTGTCAAGGACCCATGTTCTTTTTCTTTCTTTACACACCATCCTTAATATTTTAGCTTATCATCTTAAGGTTATAAGATAGTTTCTGCACTTCCAGGTATATCTTTAAATTGCAAATAGGTAGAAGAGATGAAAAGGCCAGAAAGTACAGACCTGTGCCAGCCTTGGAGTACCAGAGTGCCACTCTATACTGCCAGAATTTCTGGGCCCATGATGACCCTAAACAAGATCTGAGTTCTATTGAAATGGAAGGAGGGGGATGAGGAAGGAGGGCGATTGATAGAGTAGGCAACAGTTCTTCCAGGCGCAGATACATTGCTTGGTTTTAAGAGTCTTAGTCTTTTAGAGTCTTACTGAGAAAAGCATTGATACTGTTGAGCGAGTGAGCGAATTGTTTGTGCACAAAGTCTGGAAAGGAGAAGATGAATGGTGATTAATGGAATAAAGATTATGTAAATGAGTTTTTAGATTCAATGAAGAGGGATGGGAGATGAAGAGCTCAGATACCAGGGTCCTTTCTCTCAACTTTGCTGCCGTCACTGAGTGGAAGCTCTCCAGCTCTCTGTATCCTGTATTCTCTCAGAATGTACAAAGATCTGAATATGAGAAATATAAGGAAAAGAGAGATTCTAAGTTGCAGATAATGGCCTTAATATAGTTTCAAATCCTTTGTGGATGCAGAGAAGCTCGGAGAGTTAGAGTCATGGAGCATTGTTCAAGAGGCTGTGTAGCGCAAGTGTCTGCTGAGAAGAGGGATCTCAAAAGTAGATTTTATAAGCCTCAGTTTTGGCTGATTAGCATGAGGAAGTTCATGTATTTACATCCTAGATATATACTATGTCACTATAAGATAGTGTGTGTTTTACATGTTCTACTGTGTATCATGTTAAAAGTCATATATCTCCCTTAATATACCACGCACACACATGCACACACACACACACACACACACAGAACACAGAATGTTAGGGCTGAAGCACAGTTAACTCCATTTTGTGAATAACATGCATTTTCCTTAATGCACATGAGAGTAGTGAAAGGTGCGTGCCAAATTGTCTAGCTCTGAGGCCCACAGGGTGGGCATTCTACGTCTGAGAAGTATGGATTTCCCAAAGGTAGTGTATCATGAAGTGTGATAGTGACAGAGGTGAATCTTTGGGTATAGGCAGGAACTCTGAAGAGTTGTTCCAACTGTGACAGGTGGACATAAACTCATACAGGATTGTATTCCTTTTCTTTTTTTTTTTTTTTAAATACTTATTTGTTTTGTATAGACATTTGTTACTTGCCTGTTTCCCCCACTGGACTCTTATCTTCTGAAACCTAAGGCCATGTCTCTTTTGCTCAGCATCATGTCCCCATGTCCCCATAGAATATACTAGCCTTTCTCAAATGTTCCTTATCTAAACCATGGAAAACAAAATGGTTTGAGGGGCCCTTTTCTTAGTTCTCTTAAGGATGGTATATAACTAGTAGCATTCTAGATGCATAAGGGAGAAATTAATGCCTTAGGTGAAATGGACATGAGGGCTTCCTTCATATGGAAACTTGGCTGAGAAAGGTTGGGATGTACTTTATTTTATTTTTTTTAAAGATTTTATTTATTTGACAGAGAGGGACAGAGAGATCACAAGTAGGCAGAGAAGCAGGCAGAGCAGGAGGGGGAAGCAGGCTCCCTGCTGAGCAGAGAGACCGATGTGGGGCTCGATCCCAGGATCCTGAGACCATGACCTGGGCCGAGGGCAGAGGCTTAACCCACTGAGCCACCCAGGTGCCCCTGGGAGGTACTTTAAATTAAGATGTGGGTGAGGGTGAGGGAGGAATGACTCCCCCAGATAGTACTTTCCAGGAGTAGGGTGAATAAATGTTGGTTAGCTAAAAAACAACAGATGTCCACTAATCCTCAATAAATATTTATCAAATGAATGAGTGAGTGGTTATTCAGGCCTTTTAGCTCAGCCCACTCTTCTCTCTCAGGCTGATGAAAAACCAAAGAATGATGTGATTGTATTGCGTGACTGGCCTGAGACTCTATACAAGGAGCCTCACCAACCCCAGAGCAGGCCTTTCATCTGCTTCTATGCCATTGATGTCAACTATTTTGTGTCCTTAAACTGGGTGGAGCCACATTCAAAACAAATACAGGTAAAGCTCCCTCATTTTTTTTCTTCCTTCTTAATTTACTTCACAAGCATCATACCTCTACTGCCCTCATATCAGAATGATGAAATTGATTCTGAGTTAGCTCATTTTAATACCCATCTCCATATCCCAATCCGACCTGGATGCAGCAGTCCTTTTACCCCTCTAGTCATCAGTTCCAGAGAATTCATATTCCCCAGAAAGCAGACTGAAGGTCAAGGAAAGATGCATCCTGTTTCTACCACATATCTGAAAACCCAGTACCAGGAAACTCCCCAAATCACGCTGTTCAGTCTTTCCTTAGTCTTTAAAAAAATATATTTATTTGGAAGAGAGAGTGAGTGAGAAAGAGAGCACACAAGCAGGGGTAGAGGGAGAGGGAAAAGCTGACTCCCCTACTGAGCAGGAAACCTGATGCGGGGCTTGATCCCAGAACCCTGGGATCAGGACCCGAGCCAAGGGCAGACATTTAACTGACTGAGCCACCCAGGTGCTCCCCGTCTTTCCTTAGTCTTACAGGAGGGAATGGGCTTCTAAACATCCAACCCTTCCAGCCCCTCACTCTTGGGAGATAATCTGCCTCCATGTCAAGTTTTCATCTCTGATCCTCTTCTAGGCAGTACTTTGGGTACAGAAGAAAGATACGGAAATGGGAGGTATGATAGAGAAGATGAAGTTTCCTGTGATGGATCAAGTGCCACCCGTTGAAGCAATGGTCCACACAGGTTCCCACCACATGTTAATTGCTTACTGTGGTGACACGCGCCTGCGGCTCTTCGAAGATCACCAGCAAGCATTTATATTTCTGGGCACAGTGCCCTGTCGTTTCTCCGTCAGCTGCCTCTGCTATGACTCAGAAGCTGAGATACTGCTCTCTGGTACCTTGGGGGCCGTGGTTACCTGGCTTATCTTACCAAACAGCAGGAGCCTCCAGATGGCACAAACAGTGCTGCTGTCTGACCATGAGTTTGTACAGGGCTTTTCCCTGAATGGCCCCCAGGGCTCCCTCCTGGCTCTTTGTGAGGATAAGGTGAGGGTCTTCACTCACCAGGGTCAGGGCCAGCTGAAAGAGAGGAAAAAGTTCACTCCCACAGCCAGTGGCTCTTTCATCACCTGCTCCTTCACTTGTGTCTCTCAGGGCTATTTCTATGCTGGAAACAAGGATGGAGAGATCCATGCCTGGAGCCTAGACCAGGGTAACTTCCTCCACAGCTTCCAAGCCCACTCCTCGTCAGTGATATGTGTTTACAGCCGGCCAGAGACCTACACCTTACTCACAGCAGGCCAAGAAGGCGTTGTAAAGGAATGGAATCTTGCCTTTGGGAACTTGCTGCGGCAGCTGAATATTGACGAGGATTTGCAGCAACTGCAGTTTATTGATGACACCACCTTTTCCTGCCAGACTACCCACACTTTCTCATTGCACCACCTTCCCTATTTTTATAGCCTCTTCAATGTCTGTGGCTCCACTCCTGAGCAGGTGCAGCGGGTCTGCTGTGGCCATAACTGGGCTCGGATCCTTTGTGCCACTAAGGATGGTTTGTTGCGCTTCTTGTCTCCAGTAACAGGAGATCTCCTGGTTATCACCTGGCCTCTCCTTGTCATGGACAGGGCTGTGGCTTGGGCCTATGACACAGACAAAGAAGAGCTCTTTGTGGCAATAGGTGGTTCAGAGGTGCTGGTGTTTGATGCAACGCGCTCTCCTTGCACAGCCAAGTATCTGGTATGCACTTCAGTAAACTATGGGGATAGAGTAAGGTGCCTGGCCTATGGGCAGTCCCATTTGGGTATGGGCCTAGCAGGACTGATGTTCTGTGGGCATGACAGTGGCATTGTGAGAATCCTCTCCCACTATAGCTGTGCCCGAACAGAAAAGACTGTTCACTCTGGGGCAGTTTTGGCACTGTCTACCTTGGAAGGTCGCCAGGAAATCTCCTTACTCTGTTCCTATGGCATGGATGATACTATATACCTGACAGAAGCTGTGCTTCAGAAGAACAAGGTAATCCTGCAGCCCACAAGCAAAATTACCTGTGCTTGCCCCCTAACACACGTGATCCTCTTGCCAGGTTCTGTGGGTGCCATCACTGAGAACCGCTGCTGGCGTCTCTGGCACTACCAAGATTTTTCCAAATCTTCAGAAGCAAAACAAGGGTCTGTGGGAAACAAAGGGACAAAATGCCTGCACCAGTGTGACATCACTTCATTTGATGTCTGCTCTTCCCTGAAACTTTTTGTCACAGGGGGCATTGATGGCTCAGTCCGGATCTGGGATTTCCACGGTAGACTCCTAACTGAGTTGGATTCAGCACTGCATTTTGGCCCACTCTGCTTTGCCAATAATCGGGGTGACCTGCTTTTGACCTTCAACCAGAGTCTTTATCTGGTATCCTGCTTAAAATTGCTTCCTCCTGCTCAGTTGATACACCTAGATATCCTAAGCAATGTAGATGATATACAAGAAGTCCCTAAACCCTTCCTGCCTAGCTTCTTCTTTTCTTTTGAAAATGTATTTGTACCCAGATTTGTCTACCTTGGACAAGGGCTGAAGAAATTACAGGGGCTAGAGGTCCTTGTTAACAAACGGGTCATTGCCTTTGACAATACTGTGCCCCATGTTGTAGAGGAAGAGAGACATATGTCCGCTGTGATTCAAATGGGACCCAAATCACACTTTTTGGAGGACAAGGATGTTACTTTTGACCCCAAGCATAATCATCCCCAACACATCGTTCCTGCTCAGTTACAGCTTGCTGGCTGGGACGGATTGAACCCCTACCATATATTACATCGCTTCTTTGGTAAAGGGCAGCAATGGCCCTTTGCTCCTGATGGCTACATCCCCAACTCAGTTATCCGGGCCCGCCTTTGGCCTGAAGGTACCCCAATCTTTTTACGCTATGATCTGTACCGAGATACAGACTGGGACATGACCAAACTCGTCAGACACCAGACACTGTCACCTATGCCTCTACTAGAAGAGAACATCTCAATGAGAGGAGAGAGGGATAAATCCAAGAAACAGAAAATAAATTTCTATGATGTTCTAGTAAGCCTGAAAAAACAAAATTGGACAGAAAGAAAATTTGATGAAGGAATTATAAATAACTTAATTGAGACCATCCTCAGCCTCACAATTTACTGTTCTGTAGACCAATATAAGACATATATTAGTGTCCTGGCACAAATTTTTGCCACATATCAAGTATCTCCAAGATATTGCTCTGAGGCTTCCTGTCGCCTGATGGAAGATACAGTTCATCCCAATCCATGCATCCGTGAGCTAGCCTGGGAGGGGCTAGAGAGGCTAGGTGTCCTAAGCCATCTCTTTGCTGTTCCCCTGGCTATGGGATTGATGGACAGTGATGAAAGGGTGCGGACTAAGGCCTTATATCTTCTAATAAGAGTCACAGGCATCCAAACTAAGACTATGCTGGTAAGCCTGCTGAAGAAACAAGATATTTTAGAAGAAATGCAGTAAGTTGGTAGTGGCTTTCACCTTTTTGTTTCTTCTAGTTCCTAACCTTTTTTTCTTACTCTCTTTTTATACAAATTATCCTCTTTCTTCACAATTCTCTTTCTATTCTTTTCCTCCCACTATGTTCTTTGTTTCTATTTGCTTTTTTCCCCCCAGTGCTTACCCCTCTTCTTCTAACCATTGATTAGCCTGCCTGTCACTTCTTCACTTCCTTAAGATTCATCAAGACTCAAGTCCACAAATCTTCCAACCAAAAAAGCATCTTGGGGGCGCCTGGGTGGCTCAGTGGGTTAAAACCTCTGCCTTTGGCTCAGATCATGATCCCAGGGTCCTGGGACCAAGCCCCACGTCAGGCTCTCTGCTCGGCAGGGAGCTTGCTTCCCCCCACCTGCCGCCTGCCTCTCTGCCTACTTGTGATTTCTGTCAAATAAATAAAATCTTCAAAAAATCGTCTGGTATCTGGCAGCTCTATTCCTTGATATATTTGATTCTTTCTTTACCCATCCTTTACTTCAGAGTACTCTGCCCTAAATGGCTACTTTATCCCTGTCTCTTCAACTGGAATTTCTCCTTCTCCTTCTCCCTGTCTCTCTCCCTTCTTCACTCCTCATCTTCCTCCTCCTTCAAATCTTGTTTTGTCACTGGCTTGTTGTCATCCTTCTTTCCTCTTGACTTTTATAGGCGGGAATTTATTGGAGAAACCTCTCTGGACCAGTTGCTGGGGATCCAAGCTAAAGATATCCAGTGCCTGCTTACTCAGGTGGAGCAACGGCTAAGAGAAAACCTTACCTTGTCGTATAGAGACCAACAACCTACTTTCTATTTAGACATAGCAATGGATGGTAAACCTGAGGCCCTTGTCAAACAAATAGTCATACCTGAAGAGATCACCAAAGAAAAGAAAAGAAAGACATACGTTCAAGCAAAGAGAAAAGAACTTAGTATGTATGGGGTAATATATAGGGTATATTTGGGTCACACCTCAGGGTACCAAAAGACAGGGTCAATAGGGCAGGGTATCTAAAATGACACTAGTGGCGGGGCGCCTGGGTGGCTCAGTGGGTTAAGCCGCTGCCTTCGGCTCAGGTCATGATCTCAGGGTCCTGGGATCGAGCCCCGCATCGGGCTCTCTGCTCGGCAGGGGGCTTGCTTCTTCCTCTCTCTGCCTGCCTCTCTGCCTGCTTGTGATCTCTCTGTGTCAAATAAATAAATAAAATCTTAAAAATAAAAAAATAAAAATAAATAAATAAAATGACACTAGTGGGAACATAATTACATAGAGATATTGTTCCCGAAAACAACCTTTCTGGGAAAGAAACACATATATCACAACAAATACCAAGGTCCTACTTCCTTAGGATATGGAAGCTGGGATGAAATGGCAAGAATCTCTGTACCATAAAGCCTCAGTTCCCTTTGCCTTTATACCTCTTATGGGTGTTCATTGGATTAGATAATAAAAAGGATATCACTCAGAACCTATGTTTTTTCTTACCTATTTTTCTCCCAATGTCTCTGCAGTTAAAAAGGACCTGAGAGTTTCCAGAAAGCCAAGACAGACAGAGTCTATACAATTTAGCTCTATGTTGGTGCCTTTAAAGGATGAGGGTGAACAAAGAGAGGCCAGGAAATCAGAGCAGGTTGACACCCAGGATGTTGCCTTAGAGCCTGAACTGCCAATAAGTACTTTCAGCCCAGCCAAATCTCAAAAGGATCCTGAATCAGAGGAGGTTGTGATGGAAACCGCAGAAGGAAGAGGCCACATGGAGGTGACAGAAGTTATGAAGGCCATAGGTCAACATGGCATGAAAGATTATAGAAAGGTGTTCCCTGAGGTGGAAAGACATGAAGGAGAAGGAGGAGGTCACATGGAGGTCACAGAGGTTATGGAGGCCATAGATCAACGTGGTATGAAAGATTATGGAGAGGTGTTCCCTAAGGTGGAAAAAGACAAACGTGTGAGTAGGCTTTGGAAAAGGGCACTGGAAAAAAGTCGTGAAAAAGTAGCTGCGAAGTTGAAACAGGAGAAAGACTTGAAGGTCATTTCGAAGACAACTGCAGAAGAGCCCAAGGAAAAAGTCACGCAGGTTACTGAACAAGAAAAAGATACAAGGAAGAAACGTGGAAAGAGTGGCCGAGGTTTGGCTGGTACACCTGGACGCATGGGTAGATCAGATACCAGATCTTGGAGGGATGATATTTGCTATCTTGTCACCTCAAGGATAGCAAGTTCCCATCCAGGAATGTTAAGGGATCTGGGACAAGAATTGGTCGACTTGGCTCAGATGATGCTTGCTCCCCGAAAGCTCAGCTGGGAACTCTTCCAAGAGATCTGCCCCCTTCTAAAAGACTCATCAGAATTGGATGAACAAGTAGTAGAAGAACCATCCATTATAACTGAAGAGGCAGATATAGATGTTGTTGAGGAAGAAGGGACAGAATTGAGAGGACAAAGGGGCAAAAAAGGATTAACAATGTACAAGGCAAAGAAGAAAAAGAAAGTTGCTTTCTTAGATAAACTAGTCTTAGAGAAAAGGAAATTTAAAAAAGAAGCAAGGAAACTAACCAGGCAAGAAGGGAAAACAGCCAAGGAAAAAAGGAAACTGAATATGCCAGAGAAGAAATTAATGCAGGGAAAGGAGAAACTGACCCATCAGGAAGAAAAAATAGCTTGGGAGGAAAAAACAGTAGCTTCCCCACAAAACCAATTAACCCAGGAAGAGCAGAAGTTACTCTTAGGAGAAAAGAAAGGGGGTGGAAAAGGGGGGAAACTAAGGGAGAGAAAAAGAGTGACCTGGGAGGCAAGGGAGGCAGGGGTAAGTGGGACTTGGAAAAGGGGTAACTGGGATTTGGAGAAGATTGTCATGGCCCACGAACGAGGCATGTGGCCCCAGGAAGAGGGATTGCCTATCTGGGGAGAAAGGAAATTGTCCCAGGAAGAGGAAGAGCTGGATGAGGAAGAGGAGGAGCTGGGAGAGGAAGAGGAGGACCTGGGTGAGGAAGAAGAGGAGCTGGGAGAGGAAGAGGAGGAGCCTTATGAGGAAGAAGAGGACCTGGGAGAGGAAGAGGAGGAGCCTTATGAGGAAGAGGAGGAGCTGGGTGAGAAAGAGGAACAGCTGGGAGAGGAAGAGGAGGTGCTGGGTGAGAAAGAGGAGGAACCTTGTGAGGAAGAGGAGGAGCTGGGTGAGGAAGAAGAGGAGCTGGGTGAAGAAGAGAAAGAGCTGGGTGAGAAACAGGAGCAGCTGGCAGAGGAAGAGGAGCAGCCAGGTAAAGAAGAGAAGGAACCAGGTATGGAAGAGGAGGAACTGGCCTGGGATGCAGAGGAGCCATTACTGCACTTAAAGAAACAAGTTAAAGACAGGAAGAAGAAGTCCCACAAAGAGAAGAAATACATACAGGGTATGGAGAAACATGTTGAGGAAAGGCGTAAATTGGCCCAGAAAGAAGAACACTTGTCTAGTGAAGAGGAGGGACTGTCTGTGGAAGAAGGAAAACGGGCATCAGGAAGGGGCAGCTTGGCAGAGCAAGAAATTAAAATGACTCCAGAAAAGAAGAAATGGTCAGAAAAGGAGAAAAAAGTGGCCTATAAAAAGAAACAAATCCAAGAAAGGAAAAAACAAGTTGGGAAACAGGAGAAAGAAGACCAGACTAAGGAAGAAGAGGAAGAAGCCAAGGACAGACGGTTAGCCCAGAAAAGAAAGAAACTGGGCCTAGAAGAAGAAGAAAATCTTGTGGAAAAGGAGAGAAGGGCCCAGAAAGAGGAGGAAACAACCAAGAAAAAGAGGCAATGGGCCTGGGGAAAGAAGAGAGCAGAATTAGGAGAGGAGGAAAAAGCTGGAGAAATGCAGAAGTGGTCCTCAGAAGAAAAGAAACAGGCCTGGAAAGACAAGAAACAGGAGGAGAAAGAGGAGAGATTGGCTCGAAAAGTGAAGAAACAGACTGAGGGGAAAAAACAACAGGCCAGAGAAAAAATGAAACTGATCCCAGAAGAGGAAAAAAAGATAGAGGAAATTGAGACAGTGTTCCCCGCCAAAGAGAAACAAGCTAAGAAAGAGGAGGAATGGGTTAGGGAAGATAAGAAATCCATTGATGATAAAGAAAAGACCCATGAAAAAGAGCAACTAGCCCTAGAAGAACAGAAACAGGCCCAGGAGGAGAGAATATGGGGTCAGAAAGAGGAGAAAGACAGCGATCAAAGAAAACAATCAGCCTGGGAAAAAGAGAAGTTGTCTGTAGAAGAGGAGGAATACACTAGTGAAATGCAGAAAACATCCCAGGAAAAAGAGGAAAAGGCACTGAAGAAAAGACTGACCCAGAAAGGCAGTAAACTGACCAAAGAAGAGAGGCATGTTGATAAGAAAGAAAAGGCAGTAGCCAGGAAGGGAATGGGCATAACTAAGAGAAAGAAAAAAACTGAGGAAGAGAGAGAAATTATGAAAGAGGAGGAATTGTCCCAGGAAGAGAGGGCACCGACCTATGACATTAGGATCAAGGAGATGGGTGTTGCAAAGAAAAAAAAGAAACGAACCAGAGAGGAGAGAATACAGGCAATGAGGAAATTGGATATGGAGAAAGGGATTCATTCTGAAAAAAAAGAGGCTAGTTCCATGTTAAAAGATATAAGGAGGAGAGAGAGTTACCTGTTGAGGATCCTATCTAAAATAGTTAGAGAAATAGTACCCCTGGAAGAAACAGAAATATCTGAGGAAGAGAGATCTTCTATGATGGGGAAGAGTGGAATGGATGGCCAGAAGTGGGAATTCTTTAAGGAACAGAATGAAATAATGAAACAAGAGAAGGAGCTGGATCAGGAAGAGAGAAAAGTAGATGATGACAGACTGGCCACCAAAGAGAAAACATTGACTGATGGAGAGAGCTTGGAGGAGAACCAAAGGTTTTTAGAGAAAGTCCAGGAAAAGATACTATTAGATAAAACCCAGATAGAGAGTATATTAAAGGAAGTCCAGGAACAAAATCTGTTAGGAAAAAAGCAGCTAAAGAAACTTTTAAGGAGAATTAAGAAGGATAAACCAGAAAAAACTCAGCTAAAGTACTTATTAGAGAGTATCAGAGATACTCTGTTTGAAGGCTTATCTGAGAGTTTGATTGAGGAAATAAAGGAAGGTCCAACGAAGAAGGGGAAAGAGGAGGAGAGCATCACTGAGGAAGGAGAAGAGGAAGAAATTTTGCCCAGGAGAGAGAAAGGGAAATATTTGATTAGGAAGAAGAAAAAGAAGGCAAGCATCACTGAGGAAGGAGAAGAGGAAGAAATTTTGCCCAGGAGAGAGAAAGGGAAATATTTGATTAGGAAGAAGAAAAAGAAGGCAAGCCTGAGTGAAGAAGAATTGGAGGAGAACTTGGCTAAGAAGCATGAGAAAGAGAGTTCAACCCAAAGAAGGAAAAAGGAAAAGAGGTTGACTCAAGAGAAAGAGAGGCTGAGTAAGAAGAAAAAGGAGAGCCCACATGAGGAGGAGGAGAGGCTGACTGAGGAGGAGGAGCACCTGATTGAGGAGAAGAGACTGAGTGAGAGGGAGAGCCTGAGTGAGGGGGAGGAAGAAAGTCTAAGTGAGGAGGAGGAGGAGAGCCTGAGTGAGGGGGAGGAAGAAAGTCTAAGTGAGGAGGAGGAGGAGAGCCTGAGTGAGGAGGAGGAGAGCTTGAGTGAGGAGGAGGAAGAGAGCCTGAGTGAGGAGGAGGAGGAGAGCCTGAGTGAGGAGGAGGAAGAGAGGCTGAGTGAGGAGGAGGAGGAGAGCCTGAGTGAGGAGGAGGAAGAGAGCCTGAGTGAGGAGGAGGAAGAGAGGCTGAGTGAGGAGGAGGAGGAAAGCCTGAGTGAGGAGGAGGAAGAGAGCCTGAGGGAGGAGGAGGAGGAGAGCCTGAGGGAGGAGGAAGGAGAAGAGGAGGAAATGGAGAAGATAGAGAAAAGAGAGGAGGAGGAGGAGGAGGAGGAGGAAAAGGAGGAAAGGCAGAAGGAAGTGGAGAGCAGACATATGGAGGTGATACGCTCAGAAGAGAGAGTATTGAAAATGGAGCTCTCCAAGAAAGATGTGAGCTTATCAGAAGATAAGGCTCTTGCTGAGAAAAGGGAGGGTACAATGAGAAGGGAAATGCCTTTTAAGAAAGAAAGATTGTTTGATGGAAAGAGAGATCCCACACTTATGGATAAGGTCATGTGGCCAACAGTTCTGAAGAGCCCTTTCAAAATACCCCTCCCAGTAGCCTTGGAAAAAAAGAGAATGCCGCTGAAAGTGTTGGGGGTTCATTTGGATTTGGAAGGACAGGAAAGTAAACGTCTTGGAGCATACCCTATGAAAAGTTCTTGGGGAAGACAAGAGGATGTGCTCTTGGAGAAAGCCAGGGGTATGGAAATAGGCTTAGAGATCCAGATCCCGGAAGTCCTCCACAGGCCAGAGTCCCACTTACATGATATTATCATGAAATCACAGAAACCAGAACGTTGGCCCAAAGGTGACAGGTGGAAGTGGTTTTTTAAGTACCAGGATACCCTAGTGAGGAAAACTAAAGGCCAGACCCCAGGGCCAGCCCCAGCCCCATCCCTTACTTCTATACCAGCTGAAAGGCCATACTACTCAGAAGCGAGCTTCTCAGATGAGGACTGGATTAACAATGCTTTAATAAGACTGGAAGCAGGAGAGAAGCTTTCCAGGGACAGTTTCCATAGACTGCACCAGCTCCTCAGAGGCTTCACTGCAAAGGGATACTCGAAATGGATGCCTCTGTGCAATCTTAAAGCCATTGCTAAACACCTCAGGCAGAACCTCGTGGTAAGTCACACAGACACACCAAAACATAAGGATGCTTTGAGTCCAGTGCACTTAAAAGTGATCCCTCCAATTAGAAGAAAAGAAAAACACAGCCAGCTAGAGCCATTCCCTATCATTGAACCAGTGTTCCCATCAGCTACCAGGAGGTCTCAAACCCCAGCAGCTCTCAATTGGCATCTCTTAGCGGAGTCCTATAGGAAGAAGCAGGCACAACAATTATCCTGTGCTGTTAAGGAGATACCGCACCTTCATCCAATCAGAAAGGATGTTCCCACAACTGTCTATCCCTCTGTCGATAAAAAATCCCTGGACTTGATACTCCAGAAGGAGTTCCAGGTCTTGAGTGATAAGGAAGAACTCCCCAAATTTCACAAGGCAAAGAGGGAATTTTTGTCCCTCAAGGCACTGCCCATACCTTCACCGGTGTTAGCATCAACCACCAAGAGGACTGGAGTCCCAAAGGCTATAAAGTGGCATCTTTTAGGAGAACCTTACAGGAGTGCACGGGTACAGCAGCTATCCAATGCTCTGGAAGAGATGGACATGAAGCACTTTTATCCTGCTGCGAGAGAGATTTTCACAGGTGCCCATGCCTCTGTGGACAAACAAACCCTAGCACTGATGTTCCAGAAGGACCTCAAGGCTTTTAAGAGAAAAGACAGGGCCCTCACAATGCCCAAGTTGAAGAAGGCACAGTCCATCTCTAAAAAAAAGGAAGAGGTGCCCCAATGGGAGACATTTGTGGCAGTGTATCATGTTTTGCGGATGTTGCAGCAACACTATGCAAAAGACAGCGCTGCTTGGATGGAACAGTTTTACCAACTCATGGATCTATACCAATTTAAGTCCCCCCAAATCCAAAGGCTTCTACTAGAGTTGCTGCAGAGAGAGGAATTCCAACCCCAAGAGACCATGTTCAAAAAGTCCCTGAAAACTCAGGAGCTGGTACTTGGTGAACGGTTGCTCTGTGGCCTGTTTTGTGGTCATTCCCATGCCCCTCCAGGTCCTCTCAAGTTCCATAATGTTGTACCTCTGCCTGGGAAGAGCAGGGTGCACACTATCCAACCTGTGGGCATCGCTCAGTATGGATTCCTAGAACTTGCCTGGAAAAACCTACCACAAGTCAATTCTTACCTTGTTGAGGGGCAGCCCAACATTCCTACTCCTACTCTATGATTTGGCCTAACATGAAGACTTTGCAGTCTTGGTGGGAGATAAGCCTGATCATGGATTTTAAGCCTCCTTCCCTTTTCCCCACTTCAAGGCAGGGCTAGACAAGGACTTCTACTCATTCAGTTCCAAAAACCTGCTACTTTGTACTGAATAAAATGACATTTCTCATTGGTAACAAACATTTTGGCTTAAATCTCTTCCTCTCCAAACCTAGAATCCCCATTGAAAGTAGATAGAGAAAACAGATAATCTCTGTCCTAACAGGGCCAATTGTATTTCCTTTTTTAAAAAAATATTTTATTTATTTGTCAGATTTTATTTATTTGTGAGAGAGCACACAAGCAGGGGAAGCGGCAGGCAGCGCTGACGGAGAAGCAGGCTCCCCGCTGAGCAAAGAGCCCGATGAGGGGCTCGATTCCTGGGCCCTGGGATCATGACCTGAGTCAAAGGCAGCCGCTTAACTGAGCCACCCAGGCTTCCCCCAATTGTTTTTTCGTCAGTGGGGTACATCCTTTGGATGGTAGGGGCCAGCATTGGATCAAATTTTGGTAGAAAAGTCTGTCCTTGAGCTCTTTTTCTTAATAGTTCCTCCCTCAAAAGTTCCTAGGGGGAGAGTGGTGCAGTTGGGCTTTTATTTATTTAGCATTAATCTGAGAGGAAGCAGAGAAGACCTGTAATTTTGCCCCTTCACAAACTTTGATTTGAAGTTCCTGGACGTCTCTAAACCTCAGTGTTCTCATCTACATAATGCGGAAATAGAGTGAAATAAGGATTAAAAATGCCAACTTTGAGGACGTGATGAGCTCCACAGTGAGAGGGTCAAAACCTGAATTCACGTAAAAATGGAAAGAGAGGAGAGAGTGCGAGCTAGTGGAGAAAAACGTCCCAGCTATGTATTCACAAAAAGACTGCATCTTGACTCGAACATGGATGATTTAATCTTGGACTTATCACTTAACCTCTTGGAACATTTTCCCTCATTTATAAAGTGGGAATAATAATCATCTCAGCCAGTTTTGCCTCTCAGGTAAAAGGGTTGGTAAACTATAAATGTTCACAAAACAGTGTGGTAAATTTAAAGCTATTTTTTAAAATTTTTTTAAAAAGATTTTATTTATTTATTTGACAGACAGAGATCACAAGTAGGCAGAGAGGCAGGCAGAGAGGGAAAGGGGGAAGCAGGCTCCCTGCAGAGCAGAGAGCCCGATGCGGGGCTCGATTCCAGGACCCTGGGTTAAGGCCCAGCTGAAGGCAGAGGCCTTAACCCACTGAGTCACCCAGGCGCCCCTTAAAGCTATTTAAAAAGAAAAAAAAGAATGCCAACTTTGAATTTGGAAGAACTCTCATTCCAGCTCTTTTTTCTGCCAGTTACTAGTTCCTTAATCTTAGCTTTTGGTTTCCTCAAAGTAAAACGGTAATAATGATGCCTATCTCAATGAAACACTTAACACAATTTCTGGAATATAGTTGTTTCTAATGGATAGCTATTTTAAAGGGAGATGTAGCTATCTTAAGTGTGTAGATGAAAATAAGAGGTTTAAGATTCAAATAGGATTTGAATCCCTGCCTTTCAATTTGACATGTAATCTTGAGCCAGTGATTTCACTTCTCTAAGCCTCAGGTATTGTTTTGTTTTGTTAAATTTTCAATTGTTTATTCTAATCCTCAGCTTTATCGTGTGCAGATGAGGCTCGTTGAGAGGCCCAGAGGAGATTTTGGGTATGACTATTTTAGTGTACTGGGAACACAGGAAAGGAACTGAAGGCTAAAGGAGGGACCTGGGACCTCAGGGGAGTTTAAGGGTACCTTGGGAGAGGGAACAGAGCTCAAGGAGAAAGTCTGCAAGAGCAAGAGAGGAACTAGAGCTTGAAGGGGGTGTTTGGAAGCCCAAGAGAAGATCTTGGGCATCAGAAATCAAGACTCCGGAGGGAGGTGACAAGTTCTGAAGAAAAAGGTTTGGTAGCCCAGGAGATCAGAAGCTTGGAAGTATTGAGAAGAAACCGTGGAGCAGGAGACAGATCTCAGGGGAGAGGTCTGAGAACCAAAGGGAACAGATGGAGTTGACAATGTACAGAAGCTAATAAGTTCTGGGAACAGATCCCATACTCAACAAAGGCATAAGAGAGAAGAGGAGAAGCAGCAGATTTTTTAGTTAAAAGAGCCAAGGAGCCCTTGAAGGAGGAGCCAGAGCTTAGGGGAGATGGCTGTAAGCTTAAGAGAGAAGCCTGAGTGCAAGCAGAAGGGTTTAGGAGAAAAGGGAAGAACCAAAACTTAGAGAAGCCTGCGAGCTTCCAGGGAAGGAGCTAGAACCCCAAGAAGCAGTCTGCAAGGTCAGAATAAGCTGAATAAGTCTAAAGATTTAAAACATACACCTATATGAGATAATTCCCTCATGTAAAATAATAACACACACACACACACACACACACACACACACACACACACACAGAGGCTGCCTCTGGTTCCTGCCCATATTTGGTCTTGGACCCCTTTTTCTGACACAGAACTCCTAAATCCCTTGGAATCTCCTGGGAGATAGAGTGTCTTTTGTTCTAATGTGGTGACTCTTGGTGGACTCCTAGAAAGAGGCTGGTCACTAGGACCAAGCCCTGTATAAAGGCTTGGAACTTTCAGCCACATCTCCCATCCTATAAATAAAGGCTGGAGATTGAGTTAATGATCAATTATGCCTACATGATGAAGCCTCCATTTTAAAAATCCCAAAAGCATGGGGGTGTGGAGAGCTTCCTAGTTGGTGAACATATTTGTGACAGAGGGTGGTGCACCCCAACTCCACGTAGCAGAAGCTCCTGCATTTAGGACCCTCCCACACCTCACCCTACCTATTTCTTTATCTGGCTGCTCATCTGTATGCTTTAAAATATCTTTTGTAATAAACCAGCAACAGTAAGTAAACTGTTTTCTTTTGTTGTATGAGCTGTTGTAGCATATTATTAAAACTGAGGAGGGGATTGTGGGAGCCGCCTGCAAATTTTATCCAAGTCAGACAGTTCTGGGTAACCTGGTACCAGCTATCTCTGATTAGGGTTTGAAGTGGAGTGCAGTCTTGTGGGACTGAACCCTTAACTGGTGAGATCTGTGCCCACTCTAGGGTCATAATTGAATCTAATTACAGGACACCAAGTTCATATTGGAGAATTAGTCTGTGTGGGGGGAAAATCCCACATATCTGATGTCAAATGTGTTGTGTGAGTAAAGGCAAACACAATGAGCTTTTCCTAGACACCCCCCCATCAACTATATCCTCAAATAGCCTATTTCTAGAAGAGGGAAAAACAAGATGAAAGGTATTAAATCATGTTTAGTTTGAGGAAAACTGTTAATAATTAGTTTACTATAAATTCTGCTACAGCAGGAAGATGAAGAAATTTGTTTTTCTTTAACACTAGGGAGTTTTGCCGAGCTTTTTTACAATCCCAGAAACAAGAGAACTATAAAGAAGAAATGGAGCTTGACTTATTTACATCAACAGATACAATTTTAAAAAATTTTTATTTATTTTTTTTAAAGATTTTATTTATTTATTTGACAGAGAGAGATCACAAGTAGACAGAGAGGCAGGCAGAGAGAGAGAGAGAGGGAAGCAGGCCCCTTGCTGAGCAGAGAGCCCGATGCGGGACTCGATCCCAGGACCCTGAGATCATGACCTGAGCCGAAGGCAGCGGCTTAACCCACTGAGCCACCCAGGCGCCCCTAAAAAAATTATTTTTAAATGTGGTAAATGATACATACAAAATTTGTTATTTTGGTCACTTTTAAGTATACAGTTTAGCACATTAAGTATATTGACATTGTTGTGCAACGATCACCAGCATCTGTCCAGAGAATATTTTTCCTCTTGTAAAACTAAAATTCTGTTCCCATTATATAATAACTCTCCATTTTCTCTACCCCCAACTCCTGGCACCTACCATTCTACTTTCTGTCTTTATGAATCTAAGTACCTCATATGAGTGGAAACTTAAAGTATTTGTCCTTTCTTGGCTTATTTCACTTAGCATAATGTCTATGTCTTCAGCATTCCACTATGTTGTAGCATGTGTCAGAATGTACTTCCTTTTTAAGATGCAATAATATTCTACTTTATGTATATACCACATTTTATCTATCCATTTATCTCTTGACGGGCACTGAGGTTGCTTCCACCTTTTGGCTATTGGGAGTAATGTTGCTATGAACATGGGTATATAAATTTCTCTACAAAATCTTAACATTTTTGGTATGTATGTTCAGAAGTGGAACTGCTGCTCATATGGTACCTTTTTTTTTTTAAGGAATTGTCAGTTGGTACAATTTTAATAATACCATTTGGGTTCATTCTACTAATCATTTTCTGACTTTATACAGTAATCTAAATGTGTTTCACAAACTTTGAAATAAAGTAGAAGGTTCCTTATGTGTATTTTAAGTTTTTATTGTCTCATTGAGGTGTAATTAACATGCAATAAAAGGTAAAGATATTAAACTTCCAGTTCAAATTTTGACAATTGTATACACCCCTGTAACAACCACCCAGACCAAGGTAAAGCATTTCCTTATGGCCCTTTCCAATTCTTTTGTGTCCATTTCCAGTTTTTCTCCAACTCCCTCCTTCCTTTAGTTTTTCCTGTTCTTGTACTTCATATAAATGCAATCATGAAGTATATAGATTCCTGTTTGGGGCTTATTTTGCTCAACATGTTTTTTGAGATCCTTCTGTATTTTGTATATCAATAGTTTGTTCTTTAGTTATTGTATGAACATACCAGATTTGTATATTCTCATGTTGATGGATATTTGAATTATCTCCAGGTAGAGGTATTATGAATGAGGCTGTTATGAACATTCTTGGACTGTGAATATGTTTTCATTTCTCTTGGTATGTATATACTTCAGGATGGAATTTAGGTTTGTTTTGTTTTTTATTTTATTTTTTATAAACATATATTTTTATCCCCAGGGGTACAGGTCTGTGAATCGCCAGGTTCACACACTTCACAGCACTCACCATAGCACATACCCTCCCCAATGTCCACAACCCCACCCCCTCCCAACTCCCCTCCCCCCATCAACC